GTACTTGGGGGTACTAGTGAAAGGTAGTGATTAAAGGCTGTGGCTTGGATCAGTTGTGTGAATTATCTTTAGCATGGGGTAGTGGTTTGAGTGTTGGACTATGACTCTGGAGATTAGGGTTTGATTCCCTGCTCAAGCATAAAAACTCACTGGGTGACCTTGGGCAAGTCACACTCTCTCAGTCTCAGAGGATAGAAATGACAAACCCTCTCTGAAGAAACTTTCCAAGAAAATCCTATGGTAGGTTCATTTTAGAGTTGCTATAAGTCAAAAATGACTTGGAAGGTGCATAACAACAAATTATTAGGGGGAAAGGAGAGAAGGGGAGAACAAATCTAGCAACACATGCAAGAGTAACTGATATAATTTAACATGAGCTTTTATGGAGTTCAGTCCATTTCCTCAGATGCCTTGATGGAGTGCCATAGTGAAACCACAGACATAAAAGCAGTTTGTAGTTGTGTGTTGGAATTAGAGTGTAATAAGGTACAGAAAGATGCAAATTGTGACTCTGATCATAAATTCTTTAACAGTTGTATAAAACGATAAAGGATAGTCCATTATGTCATGGATGTTTAGGATTATCTTATTAGCATCCAGCCATACTTCCAGTTAGTGTTACAGGTTGCAGTTAGGGCTGGTGGGTAACTATGATCAAACATGAATTATGAAATGTAGCAATTTTTGTTACATTTCGATCCAACCTTTCTTCTAATCATAGAATCACAGAGTTGGAAGAGACCACAAGGGCCATCCAGTCCAACCCCCTGCCATGCAGGAACTCCCAATCAAAGCATTCCTGACAGATGGCCATCCAGCCTCTGCTTAAAGACCTCCAAAGAACTCAAGATGGCATAGATGGCTCCATTCTTTCCCACTTTATCCTCGCAACACTCCTGGAAGGGAGGTGAGGATGAGAGAAAAAGATCTTTTTTTCTGAGTTAATGAGTATTCGCTTAATGAACAATTAAGATTTGCATTCAATTGGTAAGAAAAATTGTATATGCGTTGGCATTCTGCATATGAAATTTTGTTACGTCTTTCTCAGGAAAGACCCATAATGCAAATATACCCCTATATTAATTCAATGATGAATATTCCCTTTAAGCACAAAGAGGGTAGAAGGATACAGGAAAAAAGCAATGTAAAGCATTACATCTAGAATGTAAATGATGAATAGAATAAAAAAGGCTCTTAGACTCAAAGTAAGGGAAAATGGCACAAACAGGCATTAATCCAATGAAACCATGACATTACCTATTTTATATTCCTGTAAATAAATGGGAGCCAAATGAACAAATCAGAGCTAGATAGCTTGCTGTGGCCTGTAAGGAAGCAATGGGCAGTACTAGCCAGTTATCAAGTTATATAGAAGCAATAGAGACAGTGGACTGGGTGACAAGCAGCCATTGAAAAACACATAGCAAGGACAGACGCTTTGCTAGAAACCAGCCCGATAACCAGGAATAAAATCTACAACAGCAGAGAAGCTTGCTGAAGCTGGAGAGTTGCAATGTCTCCTTACTTTTAAGTAGATAGAGCACTGACTATTCCCAATTTGTCCTTTTAGTCTTTCCCCCAGGAGGGTTTAAAAGAATGGAGAATTTTGTGATTTCCTGGCAGAACCTGGAATTATTATTTTTTTAATTGCAATTTATTCCTGTTATGTATTACAGTGTCAAAAAGGTAATTATTGTTGTTACTTATTGGAATGTTTTAACAAGTAACTCATTGTGTGACTGATGGCATTCCTTTTTTAATTATTATTACTTTCCTTTCTCTTTTTTGGGCAGGCAGGCAGCAAATTATTAGTTGCCTAATTATTTCATTCGTTATTTCTAGCCAGTTACAGTAATTCCAAGTCTCAGTGCAAAACAGTTTTCAGGACATTCTCATCCTAAATTTATGCCCATCTGTAAAGCAATTTTATCATCTCTTTCTGGCATCTCTGCTGAAATTTTACAGAAGCACCATAATACTTTTGCTGTCTTATAATCACATTAGTACTAAGTGCCATTCATTATTTTCTTCCCTTGGCACACTAGTAATTATTACTTCTGCTTTAAACAGTAGACTCTTGATATTTGGAAACAATATTTTTCTGAAACATAAAACAAATTATAGTTGCCCAAGCAAATTGTAAATGGATTAGTTATGCTCTTTGAGCTTTTAAAAACAACTTCTGAAATCTTATTTTGATATGAGATCATTTTTTTTCAGCAGGAGAATAGAGGGTCTGAATTTGCCCATTTATAGTTGGCATATGAATAGAGAAGGAGAGAAGGATGGTGGTGTTTAGAATGGCATTTTTTTTCTTCTTGAAAGAAATCATAGTACTTGACTGTCTGTTTCTTACTAAGTATTTCTACTGTGAGATGAAATTTGTGATCTGTAAAATCAGCTTATTAAAAACAGAACAAAAAACATCATATTTCTGGATTTTAATACTCACAGAAGTATCTACGAAATGATGTTAGAATTCTTTCCTCCCCTATAAATTTATAATGCAGAAGTAATATACTTTCTTTTTCCTGCCTTAAAAAGATTTTTCCCAGCATTACAGTTGCTTTGTCTAGTAAACAAAGGTATAAAATGGTCACAATTCTTGATAGCAAAGAATGTATTTGAATGGTGTATGGTCCAAAATACACTGCAGACCGCTATAACTGTGCTGTCTCGGTGCTAGGGGATCCTGGGAATTGTAGTTCATTGTGGCTCCAGAGCTCTTTGACAGAGGAGGGGTCACAAAATTGGGAATCTTTTGTGAGACATTTAACTTTCTCTGTCAGAGACCTCTGGTGTCAGAACAAACTACAATTCCCAGAATTCCATGGCATTCAGCCACAGCAGTTAAAGTGGTGCCAAACTGGATTATTTCTGCAGTGCAGATGCAGCCCTTAAAGTATCATTAAAATGAGGCAAAATATGGTGGCATTAACCAACTACATTTAGAACAAGCCACATTTCCTAGAACTGACATAATAATCTCTTCATTGTGTGCATTAAGCATGAGGGGAAAAGACGATTGAAACTTGGAAATTATACAGGCTCTTTCTCATGTTGATAAACTATAACTGAAATGTATGAACTGTGCCACCATTTCTTTGTAAAAAAAGGTTTTGTAAGTCTTTATTACATGGTTGAGATTATTGTTTTGCTCTTGTGACTTGCTAAAGTCCCTCTTTATTATAGAGCTATCCTTAATAATATATTTCTTACATAATATTTACCCCTGTTTTTCTTTTTAAATTATTTACACTGTGTAATTTCCTTAGAATAACAATGGTAAGATGTCTGTGTCTGTGTCAGCAGAATTAATAAGGGATATTAAGTTCATGTCCTTCAAATTCATTGCATGGAATTGCTGTAGTTATTAAGCAACCTCACAATGCAGCCATTAAATAGTGTTTGGTGCAACACTGTCCAAATATCTTTATTGGAAATCTGTTTTGAAAAGGAAATAGCACAGTCATTAGGGGCAAAATCTGCCCTTTGATTTGTCCTAAAATAAAATGTGTCCCAAAATCTAAACTTGGATTTCTTTATTGGACACAGAAAGTGATGAACAATTCATATGGATAGATGAACTGAAAAGGCAGAAAATACTGTTGCTGTTGCTGTGTTATTCACCCTTGTTTCATTCAGGGATGGCATTTCTGTTGTCCACAGTAATTCTCTTGTTTGATATCCTTCCTGTAGACACCCTCACACTTTGAAATATGGCCATGGATTGACAGGGGCAGGATTCTTTCAATATTGGCAGCAAGATGTTGAAAATCTCTTTTGGAGGCAACCCACTCTCCCATGCCTTGCTCTCCTGACTCTCTTATCTTTTCAGTTATTGGTTAGCCATTCTGGTGAAGGCTGCATCTGCGCTGCGAAATTAATGCAGTTTGGCACTGCTTTAACTGCCATAGCTAATTGCTATGGAATTATGGAATCTGTAGTTTTGTGAGAAATTTAGCTTCTCTTGTCAGAGGGATCCAGTGCCACAACAAACTACAGATCTTAGGATTCTATTGTAATGTGCCAGGACAGTTAAAATAGTGTCAAACTGCATTAATTCTGCAGTGTGGCATCACTAAGGCTCTGTCTTCTGTAGTATAAATTAAAATAAATAGATTATATTAGTTAGCATTCTGACAAGTTTAAGATCAGAGGAAAGTGGAGGGGCTATGCTTCCTTCTTGAAATTTTCCTAGTTCTCTTCCTGAGATTTAAAAATAAGTTATATAGTAGTTGCATAACTGTGAATTCCCTGAATGAAACAAGGGTAAGTAACACAGCAACAGTATTTTCTGCCTTTTCAGTTCATTTATCCATATGAATTTATCTGTGTGAAGGGATGCAGTGGCTCAAGTGGTTAAGACGCTGATTCTGTTGATTGCAAGATCGGCAGCTTTGAAGTTCAAAGCCCAGGTGCTGCATGATGGGTGAGCTCCCATCACTAGTCCCAGCTTCTGCCAACCTAGCATGCAAATGCAATTAGATAAATAGGTACCACTTTGGTGGGAAGGTAAACAGCTTCTGTGCAGTCATGCTGGACACATGATCACAGAGTAGTCTCCGACAATGCTGGCTCTTTGGCTTAGTAATGGAGATGAGCACCGTCCCCTACGATCGGACACGACTTGACAACCTTGTCAACTGGGAATACCTTTACCTTGTAGTTGCGTACTGAAGAGCCAGTGTGGTATAGTGGTTTGAGTGTTGGATTAGAACATTGGAAACTAGGTCACAGAAACCCACTGGATGACCTTGGGCAGGTCATACTCTCTTGGCCTCAAAGGAAGGTAAGACCAAACATGTTTCTGTTTGAAGGGCTTCCCAGCCCAAGGCCTAGAGAGGAAGAACAGAGGGTCTGAATTTGCCCATTTATAGCTGGCACACAAATAGGAGACTAAGCTGACCCATACCTCATTATCTTAGTTGTATGGTGAGATGTATTATGTTACTACTTTCACTTATAGTCATGAATTCTAAACACTATCTCCAACATATAGATTAGCATATTATGTAAATCTGTTCCCTCTGTTGTGATGATGCCTACCTGCCTGCTTGTTGCTCTTTAATTGGGCACCATAGGTTGCAATCCTCTGCACAGTTACTTGGAGGCTACTCGCACTGAAGACATTAGG